TATCCATTCATTTGTTGATGGGCACTTAGGTTGTTTCCAACTCCTTGCTATTGTGAACAAAGCCATGATAAACATGGGTGTGCATATATCTGCTTGTGTGACAGTTATGGTCTCTTTATGGTATATTCCCAATAGTGGAATTGCTGGGTCAAATGGTATCTCTATTTGCAGCTTTTTGAGAAAGCACCATACCGCCTTTCACAGTGGTTACACCAGCATCAGTCCTTTTTAACCTTTTGTCTTAATCTGGAAATAACCTTTGAAACCTTCTCAGCATCATAACAACACATGGGCCTTCATTGATGGGTGGCAGGTGGCTGTGTGTGAAGTGCATTGATCAGGAATCGAACCTGAGTCTCAGATGGAAGGTGAGAATTCTACCACTGAACCACTACTGCCCTCTCTTGATAGCTGTGGCCCCCTCAAGGCACAGTTTGGCATAGAGGGATTCTAATGTACTTGGAGTGGGGAAGGTCCAAACCAACCACCTTTGATCTGTGAGCAGACTGTCCCAGCTGCTGTCCAGTGATGGGCAGATGGGGATAATGTGTGTCTTCAGGGTTGAAAGTATTAATTTTGTTACTGTGCATGTAGGGGTTTTATCGTTTGGTGCCATCAAGTCAACCACAACTCATAGTGACCCTCTGAACCTTGCCCTATCCTGCACCATCCTCACCATCTTTGATCTAGTCAAGCCCATTATTACAGTCACTTTGTCAGTCCATCTTGTCAAGGGTCTTTCTCTGTTTCTCTGATCCTCCACCCAGTGGAATAGCCTATTCGAAGCACTGGCCCCTCCTATCAGCATGCCCATAGTATGTGAGATGAAGCTTCACTATCCTTGTCTCTAGGAGCACTCAGCACTTGAAGTTTGTTCTTTTGGTAGTCCATGTACTCTTCTCTAATACTACAATTGAAAGGATTTCCCTAACTCTCAATCATTTGAGTCTTGTTCTTTTGTGAGGTAGTGTATGGCAGTGGAGGCAACCAGCAGCACAGCGGGCAGATGATAGATTGGGCCACACAGCACTGGAAGGATAGGAGAGGTGGGTGACACAGAAAGGAAAGGAATGTCCCTGGAGGCCTGTATGTTGGGGGTCCCCTGTAACCCTCGCACTCTGGATTGCTTGATAGCTAAGCTTTGGCACCTGCCTTTTCCTGCTGCCAAATGGACAGCAGCTCCCGCCCCACCCCGGCAGGCTGCTGTAGCACTCAGTCTGCACAGAGCAGTTCATGCTCTGTTTGGTCTGCTTCACTAAATGAAGTATAGATCAGTGCACAAGACAGGCTTTGACCAGGTGTGTCCGCAGAGATTAGGCCTTCTGTTTCTGGGCCAGAAGTAACTCGGAATAAGAGACCTGAAACTTTCACTTTGCACTTTCTTTTTTTAAATTTTATTTATTTTTTTTTATTTTATTTTATTATTTTTGTGTGCGTGTACCGTCAAATCAGATCTGACTGGTACACTTTCTATATGCTTAGTCCATCCTGCCCCTGCCTTGGAGAAGACTTTATCACTCCAGTCTGTGCTTCCCCCACCCTACACACATACACGTACACAGTTGGGATTGTAGACCTGTTGGTGGTCTAGTGATTAAGGAGTTGTGCTGCCAACCGAAAGGCAGTCAGTTCAAATCTGCCAGTTACTCCTTGGGAGAAAGATAAGCAGTCTTCTGTTGTATGTTTTTATAGTGTTTGAAAACCTGCTGAGTGTCAGTTAAGAGTCCACTCCAACTCAGTGGCAGTGAGTTGTTGTTTGCTGTTGCAGACAATAGGGAAGAGGTGCCTTGAACTTTATCCTAGCTTTGCTGCTTGCTGACCAGTGTCAGACAGAAAGGTAAAGTACTGGCCAAAACGTGATTTTAGAACCAACTCCTTATATTGTATGTTTAAGACGGGAATTAGCAGTCACAAGCAGATCACTAGAACAGACCCTTCACCTGGAACTCTGGCTGGGGCTCCATCATGGGTTGGATGAACAACCTTGGAGCTCCTTGCTAGAATTTTGGGAACTGAGTTCTAGGAGCAGGAGAGCGCCTGTGTCTAGGATCATGTTCTGCTGTATCTTGCTCATTCTTTTTCCCTGTGTCGCTGTTCAGTGCCTTATAAGTCCAGGGTCTGTAAGCTGTGTCACCACATTCCATCCACCATGCATCAAGTGGCCCCACTCGGGACTTTTTTCCTCTGGGAGGGGTAAAAGGACCTGTTAGTGGTAAGCCTGAATATATGACCTAGGCAGGACCCAGTCTGCCTAACACACAACTCTCTTCTCCCCCAGTTCTATGCCATCCCAGCAGCACCGGCCCAGTGGAGACCCTCTCCCATCCCAGAGGACCTGGCCTCTGCCTTCTGTTTTCTCACCTTCTCTTATTGTCTCTTCCCCTCTTTTCCACTTTCATTGTCATTTTGAGCAAATGGGGAAGAGTGCCCTACCCTCCTTCAGAGATTCAGTCAGCTTTCTTCTGCTTCCCTTCAAGTCTGCTGTTTCTTATTCTCTGACTGTGAACGAACCCCAGATTAGCCTGCCCCCTCCTCTTTATAGCTGAACAGAGGACAGGAGGGCTTGAAGTGACCTGCCTTGGCTTGTAGCAGGGCTGGGACTTCCCCCCCAGACCTCTTGACACTGGTTTGAGGGTGGTTTTTCCTTTTCCAAATCCAGGCAGCAAGCAGGTGGTTCTAAGTGGTGCTGTGCCTGATCTCAGTGGGGCTTTCTCCCTCTGCTGGAGCCAGATCAGCTCTGCCTATAGTGATGGCTGGTACACACACAAACACTCAGTCTTTCTTTATAACAGGGAAGCTTTAACTTTTATAATGCAGGCTCACACATCCCGTGATCTTGCAGGGTTCAGGGATGTGAATAGCCTGAACTTCTGTTTGGACCAGTTTGAGCATTTTGGCTTTGTGAGGGGCCTTCCCAGGGCTGCCTGTGCGCCAGCTGTCCTGTCTGGGATGCTTCTGTACCACCTCCCACCTTCAGGGGCTCCTCAGTTCCACCTGCTCCATAAATGAAGCACAAGGCTGTTACCTGCAGTGTCTGGGAGTGGTAGTCTGGCTGTCTTTCCTGTGACTTCCCTTATAAGGAAATGTGCTTTTAGGACTGAGTCCATCCCCAAGCCCACCCCATGTTCTTAGCACATACCACCATCAAAGCCCTAAAGACCTTATTGCTTCCTGCTTTCACCTAAACCTTCTGCCAGGGTCTCTTTCTTCCTCTCTTCACTCAGATGCTGAAGGCTTGTCCTCGGTTCCCTCAGTCTGAGCCCACTGGGGTCTGAGTGGGTTGATAAGATCAAGGCCTCTGGAGAGGAGCAGTGGCTTACTTCAGAGGAACAGTGACTTGTGAAGGGGGCACCTGGACCACCAGCACCTGGACCACCAGCACTGCTTCTGATGTGCTCGGTGACCGTGAGTGAGTTGCTGGTCTTCTGGGCCTTGGCTTCCTCATCTAAAAATAAGACGTCTTCCAGCTCAGAGACTCTGTATTTGGGTTGCTGTTGAGAGCTGGGAGTTAGGAAAGGATGTGGGAGGGGCTCACGAGAGGCTTGTTTTTCCCTTTTTGGCTTTCCCTGTCCTCCCCACCCCCTTCCCTAAGCAATGTTTTCCATCTAGATGACACCAGAGCAGCTCTCACCAAGCATCCAGTGGGCTGGGGCTTGAAGCAAGTGCATTTATTATTTGACCGTTTTGGTGGCGTGAACAATTGTAACCGCTTCCCCTCCCCCTCTTTCCAGCCTGAATCCTGATTTCTAGAGATGCTAAAGGATTGCTGAATTCTTTAGTTAGTGCAAAGTTTTAGGTGTTCTGGTAGCCCAATGGTTAAAATACTTGCCAGCTAACCAAAAGGTTAGTGGTGTGAACTTTTCAGCCACTCTGTGAGCGAAAGATGTGGGATTTACAGCCTTGGAAACCCTGCATTAGTTAGTTCTTCTTTGCACTGTAGAGTTGCTTTGAGTGGAAATTGACTCAGTGGTCCTGCCTGTACCATCAGAAAGTTTGTGGTTAGAACCCAGCCAAAGACAGTTGGTGGTGATCTGCTTGCAAATGGGAGTTAGGGAAGGATGCAAAACCTGTGGTCACGACTGTACCCTGACACATGGGATTCACGTGAATCCCACAGCTAACTCTTGTTTTATCTTTTGTGTTCTGAGTATGTTTTCTCCCTCAGTCTCAAGTCTTAGGAGGCTGGAGTTACCTGGAAGTCCAGAGTTTGTCTGGTGTGTTGGTGGATTGTTTGGATTGGGAGGTGAGGGCCAGGGAGTGGTCCTGATGTGTCTCCTGCCTTAACATCTTTTATAGAGGAAAGTCTGCCGTGGGTTGGGCTGGTCACTGGAGTCCAGGCTCCTGGCTTGGAGATGCTTTTTAGGCACTTTGGACTTGAAGGAAGCTATCAGTTGTTTTTGAGAGTTGAGGGGTAGAAAGATTTAATCTCTGCTTTTACAAGCAGCATTGACTTTTTCCATCTTTATTAAAAGTTAGCACTGTCTTCTTTGCCATGGTACCCTGCTGCTGCCTCTTTGAATTGTAGTTTTGGCAAAGAATTATGAGTAGACCACAAACCACCAAAAGAACACACTTCTGATTGGGAAGAAATGCAGCCAGAGGGTACTTTAAACATGCAGTGATGGGCCTTATACTTTGGGGGAGCTATCAGGAGGGACCAGTCCTTGGAGAAAAAAACATCATGCTTGATAAAATAGAAGGTCAGAGGAAAAGAGGGAGCCTGTCAGCTGAGTAGATCAACACATGGCTGCAACTGAGAGCACAGGGCCAAGTGATGGTTCATCCTGTTACACGTAGCTTACTGTGTGTTGGAACTGATACCACAGCACCTAACACGGCATCCCTTAGGGGAGAAGCTGAATGTTTCATGCTTAGTAAGAGGAAGACCCACTCCACCCCTCAGAGAAGAGGTCCTCATCCTACAAGAGCAAAGTGTGCCAGGCGTGAGGCGGGTCTCTTGATTGTGGTGAGGGAAGGGTGCTCTTCACTGAGGAGCACTGGGCCCATGGCTGAGGCCTGCAGCTGAGGCTGCTGTCCAGGTCCTGCTCCACACAGAGCATCGGGACAGCATCTCTCATTTTATGGCACCTCACAGATACTGCTTTTTCTACAAGTTGAAGGTTTGTGGCAACCCTTTGTAGAGCAAATCTGTCACTTTTCCATTCCAACAGTATGTCCTCTGTGTGTGTCTCTGTCACATTTTGGTAATTCTATAACAATATTAAATATTTTCATAATGTTCCAGGGACTCCCTGGTGGCTAGGGGATGCCAACTCAGAGATTGATAGTTCAAATCCACCAGCTGCTTGGTATGAGAAAGATAGGCATTCTCCTATCATGTGATTTACTGCCTCTGAAAACCTACTGGAGGTCAGCTGAGTCGGTTCTGACTCCACATTTCATAACAACAACCTAACAAGGGAGCTCTGGTGGCATAGTGGGTAAAGAATTGTGCTGCAAGCTCAAAGGCAGGCAGTTCAAATCCACCAGCTTTTCTGAGAGGGAAAGATGGGCAACCTCCTCCCAGGCAATTTAAACCTTTTTTTAAAATTTTTTA